ACACACACACACACACACACACACACACACAAACACACTCGTGTCAGACGGTCTGTGTGCGAGCGTAACAGGTGAGAGACGGCGTTTGTGTGTGTTTGAGACGTACTTGCCATCTACAGCTGCGGTGATCTTGCACGCGATCTCTTGTTCGTACAGAGTCCTCAGCATGCGCTCTCTGCGGTCCGAACGCTTCAGCAGGTTTATCATAAACACCTGCAGAAATATAACCAGAATAACATATTATATGAGCTAATAATATATGTAATATATAAACCTGATTAATATATACAATAGTAATATATCTGACTATTTTATAAAATAATATAAAATTAAATAAATGTAATATATAAATAATATGATAATACAGAATGTCAATAAAAATCTATAAAATAAATACAATTGTATTTTTATACTATGATACAAAATAAATACAACACAATAATAAACACAACTAAAAAATACTACACTATTTTATACCATTTAATAAATTAATATGATATAATATAATACAATACACTTTAAGCATTCCAGTATTTTATACCATTTCATACAATGATGTAATATGGGATTATATATATTTAAATATAAACGGCTATATTGCTCTATCTTATGTTATACTATTTCATAAAATAACAATATAACATATAATAAAATACAACACATATAATACAATATAAAATGAAAAAATAATAAATATAAAAATATAAAGCATAATAAAAATACAATAAAATATACTGCAATACAAAACAAAGTGAAATAGTGTTGTAGAAATGTGACATCCTGACCTCATCGAAGCCCATTTTATCCGGCTGTTTCGGAGGAAGAGAGAGATACAGAGATGGCTCTGATGGAGGATTGCGCACTGCAGACAAAACACACCCAATGATCAAAGACATCGTTACGCTCTTTAAGCTGAATAACAAGGACATGTGACCACTGACCAGTCATGTGACTCACCCATAACCTCCAGCAGCGAGTGCAGGAAACTGTCCGCCTCGTCCTGCAGGGTATTATGGGAGCGCAGGGGCACGGGGAAATACCCATAAGTCTCTCTGTTGCAGATGTACATCTGAACCTCTGCAGGAAACGGTGTTAAATCTCAAGCAAAAGCAGCGCACATGATAACTGAATGTAATCTTCTCAGTCTGAGACGCACCTGCCATGCGCGCGGAGAAGGCGAAGATGATGATGTCGTCGAAGGCCCAGCTGTAGTCGGGATGCGGCGGGAAGAAGGCCAGCTCGCGGGACGCCTCCTTCCTCAGGTCCAGCAGGAAGGTGGAGTGAACCATGGGCACGGCGAAGCAGCCCTGGCGCTCCTGCCTGCGGATCGGCATGTAGGCCGGCGTCCGCTTATAATAACCCTGTAATAACACACTCGCTCGTTAACAAGACTGCAAACAAAGATGTCTGTCCACAACCTTCTTCATGACTAAAGGTCTTTTCACACTGAACACGAAAATTCGATGATGCTTTTGAATCGAAACAATAGATCCCTATGGAGCTATTCACACGAAGCGCGATCATTCGCGGCGCGAAAAAGCGAGGATTTTTTTTTCGTCCTGTGTGAACAATAACGGTAACCATAACGACAGAGATATATATAATATAACGATAGCGGCACAGAAGAACGATATTGATGGAATCACTTACAGATTGTTTTTTTTAGCAGATTAACAATAAAAATATTGACAACCAATCAGAATTCATTCTGCATTAAAGAGCTTGAGAAATTAAAGTGACAGATGACAAATCTGGAGTGCGCAATTACAGTAAACATCTTAATCGTCTGTTGGTGTGAACGGGCCTTAAAACAAGATGGTACTGTCATCATTAAACAATGACTCTGATTAATATATAATTATAATTTATTTAAACATGCAATATTGCTGACAAAAGAGGCGAAAACACAATATTTATAATTATGAAAGTTATTTATAAACATTTAAATAATAAAAAAAAAAACGTTGCCAACATTTCTCTTTATCTTTGTCAACAAAAAGTAGAAAAAATATTATATATTATATAAATGTATTTTAACAAGCCTGTTTGCGGTTGCCAAATGTCAAGAGTTTAAATCCCCCTAAATTACTAATTTTCTTCCTTTTTTTTAACTTAATATTTAATTATAATTTATATAAACATGCAATATTGTTGACAAAAAAGGCTAAACTAAAATATTTATAATTATAAAATTTAAATAATAAAAAACACATTTCTTTTTATTTTTGTCAACAAAAAGTAGATTTTTTTTATTACTATATATTATATAAATATTCTTCAACAAGCCTGTTTACGGTTGCCAAATGTCAAGAGTTTAAATCCCCCTAAATTACTAATTTTCTTCCTTTTTTTAAACTTAATATTTAATTATAATTTATATAAACATGCAATATTGTTGACAAGAAAGGCTAAACTAAAATATTTATAATTATAAAATTTAAATAATAAAAAACACATTTATTTTTTTGTCAACAAAAAGTAGATTTTTTTATTACTATATATTATATAAATATTCTTCAACAAGCCTGTTTACGGTTGCCAAATGTCAAGAGTTAAAATCCCCCACCAGAAACAGCTAAATTTTCACCCTTTGATTTACTTAATATTCCCAATCTGGCAACCATATGCACAAACTCTCTCTGCTCTGAGAAAAAAGCTCTGATGATCTGAAAACACCAGAAATCACGTACGCTGGAGTTTAGCGATCTTCACTGCGATATTACGCTCAAAGTAATGTGTAATAAAAGGCAGTCTGTGTTCCTTCGCGTGGCCGTTTGCTACGATTAAATGTGAGAAAAACTTCTCAGTGACAAACTAATAAACCCAAACATGTGTTGCTTATGTGAAAGTGCAATCAGAAACGTAAAAAGAAATTTCTCTAATGACAACTATTCGAATTTTGTGTGATGAAATTGTGATTATCAGTTGAACCACTATGCAGCATGACAGTTTTCATTGACTAAATCTTGACTAAAATGCCCAGACGTTTAGTCGCTAAAACTTGACTAAGAATACGGTTGACTAAATAGATAGAAACTAAAAAGCACATTTGCCACAGGACAAGTCTAAATGATAAAACAGCTGTGAAATGAAGACTCGGGATCCACACGTGATCAGTTGTGGGTTTCACACACCTGAGACGTCATGCCGCACCAGAAGTTTGAGTACGCCGCTCTGGACTCCAGCATCGGCGCCGCGATCGTCTTATTCTCCTGCATCAGCTTCCATAAAACATCCCGGTTAGTCAGCAGGTTATCACAGTAGTCGCTAAAACTTGACTAAGAATACGGTTAACTAAATAGATAGAAACTAAAAAGCACATTTGCCACAGGACTAAGTCTAAACTATAAAACAGCTGTGAAATGAAGACTCGGGATCCACACGTGATCAGTTGTGGGTTTCACACACCTGAGACGTCATGCCGCACCAGAAGTTTGAGTACGCCGCTCTGGACTCCAGCATCGGCGCCGCGATCGTCTTATTCTCCTGCATCAGCTTCCATAAAACATCCCGGTTAGTCAGCAGGTTATCACAGTCCACCATCTGCAAACACAGACGCACCGCCACGAGTTTGTCAGGTTTATTTCATTTATTATTTATAGCGACTCCACATTACGTCACTTAGCCTAATTTTAGATGTAAAAAAATGTGCATTGTTTTAATCCGATCCACAAATATGTTTTTCTGACACTCAGTTGGAGGTTATTTACAATTAAATGAAAATGTATTATAGCTTAAATATAGAGAGGACTTAAGTACATCTTTAAATGTAATTTCATAATTATTTCTGTTCTCATTAAAATATGGTTAAAGCACTGCCGAACAAACATTTCTAAAAAATGTGCATTGTTTTAATCCGATCCACAAAAATGTTTTTCTGACACTCAATTGGAGGTTATTTACAATTAAATGAAAATGTATTATAGCTTAAATATAGAGAGGACTTAAGTACATCTTTAAATGTAATTTCATAATTATTTCTGTTCTCATTAAAATATGGTTAAAGCACTGCCGAACAAACATTTATGGTAAACTAAAATACATTTTAATGTAATTTCTATTGGAACTTGTTTAAATATATTTGTAATTACACGTTTGTAGGTTGCATTTAAGTACATTTAAAATGTATAAACCCGTTTTATTTTGAAATTGGATTTTGGCTCCTGAATCAGAAACACACTGTAAAAATGACTTTTCAAAGTTAAATTATTATTGGAAAACACTCTACCAGAAAATACAATTTCAGTCGTTCTGCTTCTTTGTAATTATTTGTGAAATTTACTAGCTATTTCTGAGTGAAATCTACACCTACTTTTACAGTTTGAACTCAAGAGATGACTAAAAAAACTTTTTAATTGATGTCAGTTATTGAAGATAAAACTCAATGTGGTTCTCCAGGAAAGATGTTTGACTTTTATACATGCCCGTGGTTTTGATTCCTCAGCGGCGGCTCGAGAGACAGTGTGTTTAATCCTATAATGGTACAGAGTACTTCCACTAAAACACATGCAGAGCAGTTAAACTAGTGTGGAGCCGAACGCTGGACTGCAGGAACAGAGCTGATCACAGAGCAGCAGAAATATCCCTATAATACTGAACAGAGCAACTGCTAACTTTAGACGAGCAAGCGACGGGACGCGGCCCGTGACCCTCTGCAGACTGGAGGTGAAGTGTAATTACACTGCGGTCACATTATCTGCGCTGACAGGCAACATTACAGCCGTGGATGATGGTAGCTGACTTCAGCGAGGGCTAAAGAGACTCGTCTCAGATTTTAGACGATGTACCAGAAAGTAGTCGGCCCACATCTCCCGCGCCGTGTCGAGGGCCGCCTGACGCAGCTTCATCAGGTGCTCGTATCGCAGGTTCGTCCAGTGCTTCGGGCCGCTCTCGTCCTCATAGACGCTGAGAAACACACAGACAAATACATGCATGAGCCACAAACCATTCAGACACACATCAAGGGCAAAGTGGCATTCGCATATTTACTGTCTGATTTGTCGTCCTATCAATTAATTAAAATATATGTTAAAATGCAACTGATACATAAAATGACTTAATTGCACTAAAATGTTTTTAATTTCTGTACAAAAAAAATAGTTTTTATGGCAAGGCAAGGTTAGTTCAGGTGGTAAAATACCATGTGGTGCAATATACCCAATATACTGTATATATTTTTGTTACAATGTTAACGGAATAAAGTAAAATATAAAAAACTGAAACTTGTTTTATTTCAGCTATTTTCCAAGACAGCATTTTTTATTTTAATTTAGTTTGCCTTGGTGTAATAAAATAACTAAAACTAAAATAATATAATAAAAATAAATAAAAATAAATAAATTGTGAATTTAACGGTAAAAGACTGTAAAAATGCTACAGTAAAAACCTGTTAAATGGTTAACGGTAACCCTACTATATACAGTGAAAAACTGTATTGGACATTACAATTTTACGGTAGTATACCGTTTTTGGAAGTAAAAACGAAGTATATTTTACAGTGAATAACCGTAAATTGACATTTCCAGAATCCCCTGCGTTTCATTTCAAATTTGATGTTTTTTTGTTTAAATAACTATGTTTCTTTTTATTTTTTTCTTATCAGTTTTGTACATTACAATTGTATGTTATATCTAATGTTGTTAAATTAATGTTTATTGCATTATTTCAGTTTCATGTGTGTTTAGTGTTTGTGTGAATGATACTGTGCAACTTCTATATATGGTATTATTTAAAAGCTGCTTGTGATGGGCTTTGGTTCATCGTGTGACTCTCATCACCACCTGCATTTGGTGGTTATCAGTGTATTACAAAGGTACAAAACAGATTTCAGTACTTCAATAGATTGGTATATAAACATTATATCAGTTAATTAAATTACGGTATTTAACTGTAAATTTAAGTTAAAACCGTAAAACCTAAAATGTTGATACCGTATTTTTATTATAAATGCGGCCGTTTTTTTACTGTAATTTTTTTACGGATTTTTTTTTACAGTGAAATTTAAAAACAACGCATAGCAGTTACACATTGCGTTAGCACCGCAAAAGGTTGTGGGTTCGATTCCCAGGAAACACACATACTGGTAAAAAAAACTGTATTAGCCTGAATGCACTGTAAGTCGCTTTGGATAAAAGCGTCTGCTAAATGCATAAATTATTAATTAAATTATGAAAATGACAAAAACACCAAATTACAACAAAATGACAAAACTTTAAAATAAACATGAAAAGAGAAACTAAAAATAAAATCTAATTCAAAATATCAACAAAAACAACAATATACAATAGTATCTCATGCTGAAACAACACACATAAAAGACACACACACACACACACATATATATATATATATATATATATACTTTTTTACCTTGAAAAAAGTATTTAAAAACTTGAAAATAAAGAATAAATCAGTCACATTTTTAATGTTTAATGAAAAATGTTTAAATAAAAGATTAAAAAAGATCAATGTATTTTGAGGTCAATAGCACATTGATATTTAACAAATTTGGATTTATTTAACAAAATATGTTTTCTAACATAGGAAGAGAAAGAGAGCAGACACTGGTCAGATCAGGAAAGGTGGGCAGATGTTTCTGTGATGAGTTCAGCTTGAGGTTCAGATGTAGTTTAAGGTCAGCCTCACCTGGGCTCCTCCTGAGGTCTCCACTCCACATAATGATAGAAGTTCTGGACGTTTACGAGCCATTCGCGCAGGATCGCTGTGGTGTTGTCTGAATTATGATCTGTGGCCACCCTGAGGACAGAGAGATCATCTGAAAACAGTTCAACATCTGAAACAGACATGTCAAAGACGGCCGCTTCTCCAAACATGAATGACAAAATAGAAAGCAAATGACTATAATTAGAGCTTTTTAATTTTCCCTTTTTCCTGAATGTTGAGTTTGCTCTGATGCGCAGTGCTGTAAAATCACCCCATATTTAACTGCACTACACGACCTTTGGAAAACCAAGCTTGTCTTCAGCGTTTGGCTGCAGCACACAAGAACCAGAGCCCTTCACAGCTGCTACACAATGTGTCAGTGAAGAAAATGAGTCAGATTCACTCACACAGTTGCCAGTGTTGGGGAAAGATGTTGTTTGTTGTATTGTTGTCTTGATTTTACGATTATCACTCAATTGTACGGTGTCCTTGATTGCTCTGAAAGGCGCCTTTAAATAAAATGTATTATTATTATTATTAAGTTACTTTTAAAAGTAATGCATTACAGTATTGCTTTACTCCATAAAAAGTAACTAATTCTGTTACTTTTATGAAAAGTAATGCATTATGTTACATTTGCATTACTTTCTGTCACCTGGGCTGGGCTTGATTATTTGTTTTATTAAAAAATATAAAAATAAAAAATATATATTTTTGGCCCTTTCACAACAAAAGCGAAATGAATAAGCCTAAGGCTGAAAGAAGGTACAAAACTCAGTTGCAAATTTAAAAGTAATGCACTTTACTAGTTACTTGGAAAAGTATGTTGCATTACTTATAATGTGTTACCCCCAGCACTGACAGATGCTGTACAAACATGTGTGTGTTCAGGTGAGCTCAGCAGATGTTCCTGGGGAAATTTATCACTGAGATCATACAGGCTGTCTCTAATCAGGGTTTAGCTGTGAACAGATGGTTTCCAGGTGCACAATCTCATACCAAACACACACACACACACACACACACACACACACACACACAAGCTTCTGAAAGTTCCTCAGGCAAATTTCATTCCTCTTTTTTTCCAGTCTCAATCAGATCTGACGCACCCGTCCATCTCATCAGGATTGTGTTTGATGACCTACAGGTCTGAATGCTTCCGTTGTTTACACTAAACTTGCAAAGACAAAAATTACTAGTACTAGTTTAGGGCTGGTCAATATGACGATATACAGTATATCGGATGGACGAAATTAAAAGTCTATCTTTTCATATTATGCTCTATCGTTTATTTCGTGGTGCCACAAAAATACATTGTTTACGGCAATACTTTTTCATCATTTGAATGACGGCAATCTTATGCCCGGTTCAGACTACACGATTTTAGCCCGATTTTGCCACGATTTGCTTGACGTAGGGTTGTCGTGGGGATTCGTAAACGACAATCGTTTGAATTTCGCGGGGATGCAGGCAGAAACGTGAATAACAGCATGCGCGCTCACGTCACGTTGCTTTGCGCGTGGTCACGAAAACTTAATGTTTGCACGCATTTTTAAGCACTGCAGTTTAAAACAACTGATTTTAGGCCGTTGAAACACAAACAACAGAGCTATACGCGCGCTGTCTGTGTGAGAGGAGCGCGTAAGCCGCGCATCAGCTGCTAATAGAGCTCGTGAGCATTTTTGCCACTTTATTGGCTTTGAACAATTGCATAAACGCTTATATGCGTCCAAATAAACAGTCATTTAGGTCTTAAGGGAACGTAAACAGTTGCAAGAGAAAACGCATGTGTAACAGTATATTGGTTCAGGACTTCGGTCTTAAAGGGGAAGCTGTCCAACATTCGTCCTGTCTGCCATTCATATTAATCAAACAACAGTGAGAGAAAATCTCTCACTGCTCTTGACTAAATCACTTTTGTAACTAGAATAAGAAGAAAATAAATAAATAATGCTAATGCTAATAATTATGCCTATATATACTGTATATATATATATATAGATATAGATAGATAGATAGAAATTTACACAGTGAAGACTAATTAATTTACACAAACTTTTGTAACTAGAATAAGACGAAAATAAATAAATAATGCTAATGCTAATAATTATGCCTATATATATATATATATATAGAGAGAGAGAGAGAGATATAGATAGATAGATAGAAACTTACACAGTGAAGACTAATTAATTTACACAATGTATTTCTTATTTATTGTAGTTTTTTGTCCTATTGCTTGTAATTAGTTTCTTGTTCTTATTTCATCACTGACTGTTTATTTATCTCCAGTGAGCTTGTTTTTTTTTTTATTATTATTTTCTTGTATTAGTTTGATATCGACATTGGTGACAAGGATTATAAAAATTCTATGGTATCAAAGATTTTAATATCATAAAAACCTTTTTAAAAGAAAAAAATAACTATATCGTGATGTATATCGTTATCATGATATAAAATTACTCATACCGTGATACAAGATTTTTGTCATATCGCCCACCCCTACTAGTGTTCATAATTAGGTTTAGAGATCTGAAGAAACACTAGAAAGCTTCAGAAACAAATAACTTTTTTGTTAATAATGGTTTGCATCCAAAACGATAATGTACATGCAGAAAAAAAACATTTATTTTCTTTGAGTTTCCAACAAAAATAATTATATTATATTATATTATATAATAATATATAATAATTTTTATATAATAATATATATTCAAATGGAAAACAGTTATTTTAAATCGCAATATATTATATTATATATCAATTGTAATAGCATTGTCATAATATTTCAGGATTAGTGTTTTTACTTTTAAATACATGCTCCTGGGTGAGCATAAAAAAAATCTTTCTGACTTTGAAGAGTAGTGTATGCATTATAATTACATATTATTATATGTTATATCTAAATATGGTGATAAAATGGCAATTAAACATCTGTGGATGTAAAATTACATCTATAATGTGGCTGCCTGATTCATAGAGAGTCATTAAAAGAAAGCACTCATTCGTTAATTAAAGCCATTAAGACACAGGAGAAAAGGGCGCCAAACCGCCGCCCTCGCATTGAGAGAACCAATCACACGACGACGCCCATCCTACAGTATTACTGTAAAAATGAAAGCTGGAGCAGATGAGAACCCCACTGGAGATGTTGATCACGAGCTGTCGTGTGTCTTTGCGAACCGCTCTAATGCTATGCTTATGTAGCGAGCCTGCTTGTTAGCGGTCAGCGCCTCTCATAACTGATTTAAGCGCAGTTTGAGTTATTCCTGTAATAACGCTTTAGATTATATGGACTTTGATGTGCGTGTGCTGATGTTCAGATCTGCCAAGATGTTCATCTGTTCATCAAAGACCTTTCCTAAATACAGTTCAGTTTCAGTGTGCTAAAGCGCTAGCGAGCGCTGAACCCGACGGCTTCTGGGAGTCTCGGACCACATGTGGTTTCGTTCTGGTCTGTTTGTGGCAGCTACACAAACCCCGGCGGTTCAGTTTCAGTTGTTAACTACACGCTGAGAGCGAGGCTTCAGTTCTGAACACCGCTGCGACTCTGAACTGAATGAAACGAGGATGATACGATGTCAAAAATGTTTTACATTACATTGGCTACACGCCAATCAGATGCTATTTTAAACTCACCCAACAATTAAACACTCACATTAAAGGAAGAGTTTACCCACAATTGCATTAATTTCTTGTCATGCACTCATTTAATGCTTGTTCACACCAAGAACAATAACTGCATTAGCATCCAGCTCAGACATTAGCATTTAAATGTTCAAGCTCTTCTTCTGTCTGGTGGATTCTGATTGGTTGTTGGTGTTTTTTAATTTTTCATCAGAACCAAGTTTCTGTATTGGATTATGAAAATAGTTTTATATAATCCACTGGAAGAGAACCTGGCTCCGAACTGACAAACAAAAAGCATCATGAAAATGGACCACACCATTTTTTGGGAAAGTAATTAAAGCAATGCATTATGCCAAACACTGAATGGGACCATGCTCTTAAATAAGTAGATGGTGAGAATTTTCATTTTTGGGTGAAATGTTGCTTTATCGTGCAAAACAAAACTTTTTACTTTTTGCATCTTTCATTTGGTCTGATATTTTGTAATCAAATACATTTTTCATGTTTTTTTGTGTCAGAATAGTTTTTGGGGTCAACTTTCATTTTCTTAAGTATTTGCTGAAGGGATGTTGACTGTGAATACTAAATATTAAAGTATTTGATGACTATAAAGAAACTCTGCCCTAAGTAAATAGAAATCAATAAGTAGCCTATAGTTCACTACACAATTCGATTATTAAAGATGTCTTCCCTAGTTTTCTGACATGCATGTTTTATGAGGTCATAAAGTCTCTCAGAAGGTGTTTCATACATTTAATCTGGCTGTCGCCGCAGGGGAAGTTTTCAGCTCACTGACTCTCCTTCATGCAGGAAACTCATTCATGTGTTGTTTTGTTTTCTCACAAATTCCATCACCGCGAGCAACGCGCATTCATGGCCGCGGCTAAAGACACGTCGGCTGATCAGATCGGCCTGAGTCGGGGGGAAAGGGAGGAGGGAGGAGGGCAGAGCTGATCGAGGGGCATGAAGGGGGTGTCTGTCTGCCCTGGACACGTCTAAACTCGCTCATTTCCCCTCCACGCACACAGGCCACAGCAGGAACCGAGTCAAATCTATCCTGCTCTCGTTTCCAAACAGAGATAAATCACAAATCACGTCTCTAAAGACTCACGTAAGCACAGCTGGTGTTAGTTTAGTTCAGCCAACACGCACATAAAACGCCTCTCTGTTGTTTACTTTCACTCACTTACAGAAAGTCTGCAGTCACTTACAGTTAACACACAACGCATCAGTCCAGCGCAGGACGCGCAGCTGTCAGACGCGTAATTGCGCGGAACATCAATTCTGATAAATCACGCCAAACAGTCCAATCCGCCAGAACTCACCATACAGCCATGCGGTCTTTGGGGAAGTTGAGGCGGTCGATGGATCCGAGGACGTGCGGCAGAGAGTGCGCCGAGTTGCGGCAGACCAGCGCGAGCAGCACCCGCGGCGCGAGCAACGCGGACTCCGGGCTCCAGCGCTCCTCCGGGAAATAACCGCGCGCCGGACCGATCCAGAGCAGCAGGACAAAGAAACACAGCAGATGCATGGCTGGAGAACGAGAAAAACTGAGAAAAAGCGGAAGATCGGGCAGGAAAGCGGAACGGCGAGACTGATCGCGGCGCGCTGACGCGAACAGTGACCCTCGGCGACTTATTGCCAACCGACAGAAAAGCGGAGCGACTCTAGGTGGTCCCGGGAGCAGATTTAAAGGGAAAGGCTTCTTACTAAAAAGAGAAAGGTTGTGGTGCAAAAAAAAAATACACTGCCCTCAATCATCTGGTAAATGACGTAGAGATTATAATATATGGTAATTAAACTGTATAGACTGCAATTAAACTCTATAAACTGATGTGTTCGCCTTTAATTTCGCGGCGACCCCTTTAAGAAAAGCAGCTTTGCTCGGTTGGAATCTGCTAGAAAGTTTGTGGGCGTGGCTAACGCACTCACATGAGCGTACTACAGTACTCTCGTGAGCAGACCAGAAGAGTATAAATGCACATTTATTAAAATAGTGAAGAGGGACAAACGGTGCTTCTGAAACACAACGCGAACCAGTTCACAGTTTTGAAGCGCTCGCCGAGGACATCTGCTGGTCACAGTCATGTAGCCTAAATGCAAAGACGCGAGTCCAAGTCAGCTATACATTTTTTTTATGCACAATATGATACGGAAATGACCAATATAATGTAATACTAAAAATAATAACTCTACCCCTAATCGTAACTGTCACACAAACCTGTTGACATTTAGTTTTTTACTCTTATTTTAAATTGTCTTATTGTAAAACAATAAAACATATGTGTGTAGGAATGTTACTAATACGTTGCCAGTATAAACTAGTTTTTTTTTCATGCTTTTGCAGATTTGAATGTGAATCAGAGCGGTTCATCAGCGCCCCCTGTTGTTTGGGTATATTAACGTTTTAGTGATTCTTTCCGACCTTCTTTTTTCTTCCAATGAAAGTTTGACATGTCGTTTCCTCATACAGAGGCTGTACTAAGATTAGGAAGTGTTTATTTTGCAAGTCAGATTTGTTCTCAGAGAAATCTTTATTCAGTTTCATTTCTTCTGTCTCTAAATGGCGCTTGAGGATGAGCTGTCTTGTCCTGTGTGCACTGAACTCTTCAGAGATCCGGTGTTATTGAGCTGTGGACACAGTTTCTGCCGGCAGTGCATTAATGCTCACTGGACCTCCAGCAGCTCCAGAAACTGTCCCGTCTGTAGACAGGTGTCTCCGCAGGAACCGGTGTCCAACCTGTGCTTGAGGAACACCTGTGAGTCTTACCTGAGAGAGAAAAACAAGAAGGAGGAGAAGGATGGAGAACACGAGTGTCTGATACATGGAGAGAAAATCGAGCTGTTTTGTCAAACTGATGAAGAGGCTATATGTGCAACGTGTAAGGAACATGAGCACAGATGGCACCAAACGCAAAAGCTACAGCAGGCCGTGCGACAACTCAAGGTGAGACCGGGTGCGCAGGTGTCATTAATAAATGCTTAAATTATGGCTGCCCACTTCGTTACTGAAAGAATCGATTTTTATATGATTACACGTGTTATCTTTAAAGGGGAAGCTGAAGGCAACTCTTCGTTCAGCTGAGAAGTCTTTGGTCTCATTAAAGAAAGGTACAGCAGGGGACCCCAAAATCTACAGGTACATTCAGGTGAGGTTCTTGTTTAGTATAAAAAATAGAATTAAACAAATTTACAATTGAATTAGTCTTTCAGATCACCCCCAACTAAGGACTGAATAGGCTGAATGGTTATTCAAAATATGACATGAATTCGGCAAGTAATTCTGGACTTTGTGGTTTACACATAATTTAATGACGGAATAATTAAAGTAATGAACACTTAATAATTGAATTGAGTATTGACTTCTGTGGAGCTTGTTGTAGAACTTGAAATCAGCTTTTGGTGTCCTGCTCCTTTAAAAAAAAAAAAAAACATATTACTAATAATAATGGGTGGTCTTGAAATTGTGTTGGTAGAATTTATTGATTTATTTGCATTTACCTGTTTACCACAAAAATCCTCAACTACACCATTAGCTTGCATGTGAAATATTACATTTCTATGAGAAATCACTTAAATTATTATTTAAATTTAATTTAAGTTGTCTCTGGATATTGATCTAGGTGTTAGGTGTAGAATTCTGTCATCTGCTGGTTAGAGAGAAACTTGTATAAATTTCAGTTTTTGAAAGAATAGTTTAATGACCATATACAGTATATCCAGCAGAGGCCCATAGAGATCCATTCATTTTTCTGGAAGTGGCTAACTGCTCCTCTAACAACTTTTCTGATATACATTTTGTAAATATATATTGAAACATTATAAAATGCATAAAAAACTGTATTTTTCTCAAAGGTTAGAATTTGTTTTTGTTGTTTGAGGTATTATTTTGCAATAATGCCACATAAATTTGCAGAAAAGCCACACAAGTTATTACTAATAATAATGGGTGATCTTGAAATTGTGTTGGTAGAATTTATTGATTTATTTGCATTTAAATCACAGTTTACCAAAAAGTGTTTTGCTGACTTCACCCTAGATCGATGTAACGGAAGCCGATTGAGAAATTCTTCTAGAATGTTACATTATTGCTAGAAATCAAAGTATATAAGTATAGTGCCCACAATAAAGTGGAATGTACAGTAAATGGGGGGGGGGCATTTTTCTGGAAGTGGCTAACTGCTCCTCTAACAACTTTTCTGATATACATTTTGTAAATATATATTGAAACATTATAAAATGCATAAAAAACTGTATTTTTCTCAAAGGTTAGAATTTGTTTTTGTTGTTTGAGGTATTATTTTGCAATAATGCCACATAAATTTGCAGAAAAGCCACACAAGTTGTGACTAAAACTTGATTGGATGCACATATTTTTTTCAATCTAAAAAGTAAAATCAAAACAATTTTATTTTACTTAAATGTAAATAAAACCAACACCCAAAAAAAAAAAAAACCTG